TAACATGCATTATGTATTTATTATAGATTCATCCCTTTTGGTTATATTATTATAATGTTATTCATAAAAGTTGCAAGCAACAACCGACCGAACATTTTTGAGTTGATGCGCAACGAGCATCTAGCTTACGTAGTAGTGCTGCTAATAATGAGAACGCTGAATTAAATAAATAATAATTCATTGCAATTTTTTAACTAAACTTCGTTCGCTTCGTAGAAAATGAATTTGAGGGGCAGATGGAGGCAGATGGCTGGCTACTTGTGATGACTAACTGAACCAGTAGCTCGGAACAAGTGAAAATAAATAAATACAGAATATTAAATCAACAAATATTTCATATTTTTATTATCATTTCGATTTAGAAATTTATTTATTGACAATTATAAAAGTATGTATTTTGTTAAAGTTGATACAATCTAAAGGTTAAATTTAAATAATAAATAGGTAATCGTAGCATTTTAATGGTCACTGAATACTTGTCAATCAAAAATCTCGATTTTAATCGTGAAATTGTGAATGTGAAGTTTTCTTAAATTTTTCTAAACAAAACATTATAAGAGAATCCCATGTTCATTACATTCCGATTATGTGAAGCATATTATGGTGAAATCGCATGGTGAAATCAATTTCATCGATTAATTAAACGTAAAAACATACCTGATTAAAACCATAATGACAAATAATAATGGAAACTCTTTTTATACAAACAAAATGAACCGTCGACAAGAGATTAATATAACAATTATCAATTTTAAAAATTGATGTACAATATAAACCACATGGCTCATTATATACGGTTAGTGCAAAAGAGGCATTTCTATTCAATTAAATGGTTATAAAAATTTTCCAACCGCGATAAATGGTTTTTTGTCGATTTAATGACCAAGTCAATTAATTTTTTAACCAATAATAATAATAATATTTATAATAATAATAATTATAATAATAATATTAACAATTGTAACGACTTTTATTTCAAAATTTAAATTAAATAATTTTGAATATACAATATTAAAAGCATTCATCGATTATTCATTATTCATAATTTATATATAGGGTGCAAGGATGATAAAAAATTATGAAATAACAATAATAATAATAATAATAATTACAGCAAATACATACCGCAATGATTTAAAATAATTTAAATAATAACACGATAACTTACGATAATAAATTAAAGTAATAATAAATGTGACCAATGAAAACGTTCAATAACGTAAGAACGTGTGCGATAAGACTTATATGGATTATCATGATCCGATTTAAATACGTATGTACCTTACATTTCTTAAATACGACATGGCGACAAAATGACGCCAACAATAATTTCTTAAATACTGGAGCTGAGGTTATACGTGAATTTAACGGGATGAAAATAAAAATTTAACTTATATAATTTTTGTATTAATGAAATTAAACTTAATAAATTTAAATTAAAACCCATTAATTTGTTTCAAATTTTTACTAGTTTGAATGTTTTTACCGATTCAATTTTTTTTCTTTTTATTTTATTCAATTGTACTTTGTATTTTTTATAATTGAATTATTTTTTTCTCTTCACGTCATCGCCGTACTTATCATCATCCTCATCATATCATCGTCAACATCAACATCTCCATCGTCACCTCGTCATCATATCATCAACAACATCCTCAACATCGTCATCAAACTTCTTCATCATCATCTCATCATCAACACGATCATTACACGCTAAAATGACATTATGCATGCAACAGACATACCACAGATAACTCATTCGGTGAGAATTTTTATCTATCAATAATAATATTTCCTGCACGACCGATCGTCATTTTGACATTAACAATAACATCCAACCATTCATCCAACATTAACAATGACATTAAAGGTAACATTTAACAATGATATTACTGATAACAGCAACAAGAGTAACACCATATAACGCCAGTCACACCCCTCTTCCTAATATTACAATGACTGAATATCTGAAGTCGTGGGCACGATTCATCATCAATTCAAGTTCGTGTGGCGTCTTGCATTTCTCTCCGAACATTCACTGTCGGTGAATAAAACGTAAATTAGGCTTAGGTTAAACTTAGATCACTTCACACGGACATAAAATAAGCGAGCGCACGCACAAATGCGCACACCTAATAAAATAAATTTGTTTAACTATCACTATATGAATGTAAGTTAAACAAACATTAACATTGTATATATATATATATATATATATATACATATATATATTTATATATATATATATGTATGTATGTTTGTATAGTGTGTATACTATGTAAGCATGTATGTATGTACGTAGGTATGTATGTGTGTACGTTTTTTGTATGTATGTATAGTGTATGTATGTATGTATGCATGCTTGTAATGTCATATGTGTGTATGTAAGAAATATGCGACCAGATAAATCGTTGGTGTAGTGTTTCATGGAAAATAAAATTTTATTCTATCATTCCGGTTGGTTCATGTTTTCATTTTATTGTGACTTATTTTTATATAAAGTGAACAAGAATATCAAAATTAATAATTTGTTTAAACATATAAGTATAAATATATGAGTATAAGACAAACTTTAAATTGATTAATCATTAATGCCAACAATTCCGTAGAATTCATACAATGCTCTATACATATATATATATATATATATATATATATATATATATATATATATATATATATATAATTTGTCACAATTCATCGAATTGTTAACTCAACATTTAGTGTACCATTATCAATAGATTTATATTTTATTAACGTCAGCATTCATTCACAAATTATTCATTACAATTTACCTTTAAAATTTTTTTTCACGAAGATTTGAGTAGTAGTGCTGGAAGAAGAAGTTGAAACATGAGTAACCGAAGTAGACATCTTGCGTGGATATCAGATAAACATGTTAGTTGATGTGTGTTGAATGTTGTGTGTTGTTTGTTGGTTGACGTATGTTGAATGTTGTGTGTAGTTTGTTGGTTACTGTTGGTTGTTGTTTTTTGCCAGTTGTTAGTCGTTGTATTTTGTTTCTTGTGCAAATATTAAATACACAACGATCATTTTTTAAAGTTTTATAATATTTCAATATTATAATTAATTTTCTATAAACTTATATAACAAACACTTATGTGTTTGAGAAAAACAAATGTTCACTAAAAAATGAGATAGAATTATCTGGATTAATAGTGATGACATAACAGCGAGCGATTTATGAGTCAGATTTGTACAGCTGGCGTTTAAGTTAAGACATTATAGAAGTTTGTCTGTTCTGGTTGGCGATAGTATCTGATTAGAATACCACGCGGTGCTGTTTGTTTATGACACGTTCTCGTCAGCCCAGTCAGTAGTTGCGTTTGAAAATTTTAAATGAGAAATTTTGATCGAAGTATTTAAAAGATTAAGATCGTTGACGCCATGATTTAAAGCAACAATGACAGCCTATTCAAATAACTGTATGTCGCACGATTACGCTGCATGTGTCTGCTCGTTTGCAATTTTGTATCTGACGTTTCATCAAACCATTCAAACGTCGATAATAATTTTAAATTGTTTGTTTCATGAAATTTTTCTGTAATGTTCAACTTTTTTCTCAAATATTTCAATGTTTGTAGTGCTAACATTTTTCAAAATATTAGCACATGTTTCAAATGTAATGTTGAACTTTTTTTTCTCAAATATTTCAGCGTTTATAGTGGTAACATTTTTCAAAATAAATTAAAAATTTTACATTAATATTTAATATGTTTGAATTGTTGCGAAATAAACGTATTTGTTAGTTTGGTCGATACATTTCAAAAGTCTTAAGGAAATGTGTATAATGCGCTTTGTGATTCGTTCGGTTGTTGTTATATGACTTCGGTCAAACAGATTATGAGGATGGACTGGTTGATAGATTTCAAATAAATATAATTGTGAGATGGAGTGGTGATTGGTGGTGAAATAAAAAAGAATTGCCTATCACGAGATCGGTACATCGTCCGAAGGATGAATCAAAAAAACAATGTTGATGCGCTGTTTGACAAATAAATCTGTGACGACTCGTCTGGTCGCCCTAGTGTAATCGTTTTCACTCATATATTTATCTTTATTCAGAATATTAAATAAAAAAGCAGATTTGACATTAGAGAAAGAACGAAACATTGTCAAACATCGGCTCGACGCGAAGCTTATTGATCTAATGATAACAATACAAAAATTTATATACAGCTAGAAATTGATTCTGAAAACTTTGGTACGAACTTAACATCTGCTAGAGAAAGATTGCTAGAGTACCAGTACTCTCTTTCGAAAATGAAAGAATACGGATCTGAAATTAAGAAGGTTGCCCTACCATGCTTTTTGCGATGATTGTTAATTTAATTATCATTTTGAAATTGTTTGAAACCACCTATTTACTTGACTATTCAAATATGACTTATTTTAAAAAAATAATGCTAAATCTTTTTTTATTGACGTCTTACGAATCAATTAAATTGAATTTAACAACGACTAACAAAAAACATTCAGGAATTTTCAAATGATGATGAAGTCATGAAGGCGTATGAATCTTTGATTGTTAGTCTCTATTTTGCTTCATATTTTTTAAACTTTGAACTAATGAAATTTTCTATCTTATCTAGGATCTAGCGAACGAACAACAGAAATGTCTTGAAAACTCATCTGATTTATTATCTTTAGAAGGCCTTTTTTCAGTAAGTGTTTGTTACACAAATATATAAATAACTTTAAAGACATCTTTGGAAATAACTTTCTTTTTTTTTGAATTTAATTTTATTTTACACGATTTTTCCAAAATTAAAATAATATTTATTATTAGAGTTTAGCTAACGAAATGGCCAATAAGTCGGTTTGTCTTTGCGAAGATTTGAAAATATCATCTCAGTCTGACATTGAAGCTGAATCACCGAAAGATAAATCAGCTAACGTATTTCAGGTGACCAAGATGCGAATATTTCAGTTTGAATCATTACGAATGTTATACTAATTCAACATTTTATAAATAGAACTGCATTCTGTCGGTGAAAAATAATTGGTCATGGCTGACTAAGTTGATGAAGTGCTCTGAAACTCACCTCAATCATTCATCCAATTACCACCAGGTAAAACTAGAAAAAATTAAACCTACCTTGAACATGTTTTGACAAAATTGTTTAATATTGGGTAATATTTTTTGCATCGCTCACAAACTTTATGTAAAATTTTTTTTAAATGTACGACATTCGTCACAAACAATCTTTCCTCGTTTCGTTATGGCAGTATTACCATACAATAAAAGAGCTGAGGCAGTGGTTGCCAGTAGATCTCGAGAAGGCCAACAATTTGTTGAACGTGGCAGAAATGAAAAAAAACCTGCAAGGAGCTACCGTCAACAAGTTGCTTCTGGAAATTAAAGTAATTAAATCGTGAAGTATTTTACTTATACTCATCTCACCACCGCCTCATTCCAAATTATACTATCTCATCATTTTACTATGATACACAATCATTGAAACTATTAAAGAGTAATTATTCTAAAACTCATTAACCTCAGTTTAGGTTTTTTTTTTATATCGAGTTCATATTTAGAAATAGTTTTTAAAGCATTGTTAATTTTATTGAAGGTTATTCATATTTAAAAACGTCATTAATAATGCTTTTTCTCAAACATTTGTATACAGACAGCACTTACTATATTCTTGAGTTGGAACTCCAGACTTCACCAAATTCTCTTACAAAGCAAGCAGTTGGTGCCAGTTCATTTGAGAACTCACAAAATCACCCAACCTCGAATGGCTGTGTCACTAGCCAAGTACCAAACTAAAAATGTAAGCATTCCCATTTTGTACACCTTATCGATAATTTTACGTTTCAAGTATTTTTTTACATAAGTGACAGCTGATCATGAGAACAGTGTGAAAAATAAATCATCTGTTTAGCAATCTATCAATTTGCTTGTCTTAAAAAATTTTGTGGCTTGTTAAAACTCGTAGAGAATAAAATTTCAAAAAATTGTATGTATGGTGTGTTAATATTCCTTTGCAGCTTTTTTCTATGGGATCAAGTTAAGCCGCTTGAATAATAAATATTGATACTTTTAAACACGTATCTAATTAGAAATAATTTCAGGCAAAGCTCTTGTATAATTTTTTTATTCTTAGACGTTTAACTAACTCCTTCAGAAAATTTCAGTCAATAGTGACACAAAAAAAACGTGTTAAAGTGTTTAGCTGAAAATGTTACAATTATTTTTACAGTGATTTCTGTTTCAATTTTTAATGGCTTCAAAGGTTCAGAGAAATGAATAGCTTAATAATATTAATATAAATAACTCCAGGTGAAAATCGAAGAAGGAGAAGAGGTGATTGTGCAGGACAATAGTAGAATTGAAACTTGGGAGGTAGTTTGTTTATTATTGCTTTCTAATTTATTATCTGATTGAAGACTTGAACTCTTGCTCATCATAAACCCGTCGAAGGTGAGGAACGTAAGAAACGAAGAGTTTGTGATTCCGTCTGTTATATTAACCATACCTGGTCCCGATCCTGAAGCCGTTGATGCCGCTCTCAAGTTCGCTAGCACAGCACAACATCAAACACTTCATATCGTTATTCTTCATCTGCTTTTTTAATTGATTTATGTTCGGCGTATTCGTAATTATGATAAAAATCTCTATCATCTACTTATTATCTATTGATATGTTGATGAGTATCCGTAATTTAGTTTATTGTTTTCAAGTTACACTCCTTTCTACCAAAAACACATTTCCATATCGCTTTAATTGTCACCATTTGAAGCAAACACTGCATACAAATTTCAATACTTAGGTTGACGTTGGAATTTTTGGGCATATGGACAGTGATGGTGAAGAAGTACGGAAGGACAATCATCTGGTTCCTCCTGCAAGTTATCCGCGAGTGGACACCCTCTGAGGTTGTAACAATTGTTCCAAATTTTAACTAAAATTTTTTTTTACATTGAAGCAGTTTATTTTTGTTTTTGTCTACAATTTTATATGATACATGTACATTTTATTGTTGCTGACACTTCATAGTTTTCCATCTTAAAAATATAAGGTAGCATTTGAAAACAGAATAATTATCTAAAACTTTAAAATTAATTTTAATTATAGTTATAATTCGTAACAGTTTAATGGTTGTACATCACTCATAATGTTAGACTCACCATATCATATCAAATTGCTATTTAAAATTGCCATATAAGGTGTTGATATTGAATTACGTCCAACAAGTTGAACAATGTTCTGAGTAATGTCTCATGTCAATATCATTTATGTTTCAGTTGGTTTGGTGAATATAAATTTTTTAATTTCACTCAAGATTTTGAAATGAGAATCATTCATAAACATTTCCATTTATAAAAATTGTGCTGCATGCAATTCAGGATTTATGGGCTATTTTTAATTGCAGTTCAAAAAATTTATTAATGACAGTTTTTATACTTATAGTTTTAATGTCAATCATTAATTCTAAACATAGCAAAGCATAGAACAAAAGCAAATGATGGTAGCGTCAAAATAAATCGTTAATTACATTGTAAAACTTAACAGCGTTGATCAAAGTTAACGACGCAGGTTGTCTGCTGACGATTTATAACCTAGCAGACATTAAAGTCAATCAATGTTACCTATTCACGTTGATTTGAAGTATTCAAGCCAATTATTATTTATCGTTTAGCATAATGGTTGTACTTTGGCTTAATTTTCAACCTACATGTTCTTAGAAAACTTCAAAAATTTTGTTAATGTAATTAATTGTTTATCCAAACGTATTGTATCATTCATTTTTAATAGGTTTTCTAAATTGACACAAATTTTTCTTATCCTTCATCTTATGAGTACGATTATCATTATAAAGTGATTAAATTTATTTAAATAGCAAAAATATCATATAATCGTTAGTCAGTGTGGTGTGAACTTTTACGAAACATGATTACATATTAAAATATTTGGCAAATGCCGAGAATTTTTTTAACTAATGGAAGAGCAAATTATATCTTTACATTTAAGATACCGGAAAGCACTAACTCATATTATTCTGTTATTGAACACAAATGTATGTTAATACATACATTTGTATGTATGTTCATACATACATACATGCATGCATGTATGTATGTATGAACCCATAATTGATTAGAACTATAGGGAAGTAATAATCATATCCGGGTTCAGCTTTAATCTATGTTAAAGGCTTCGCACAGACAGGTATTTTAACGCTCCATCCAAAATACAGAAAGAATTATATTTTTAAAGTAAAATAGAAAAGGATTGCTGTACATAACTCTTATCTAATGGTTCACCCGATACTTCTACAATCCTGCTACAGAGTTCATTCAGAAAACTCTGAGTCTGAGCATCGGTTGGACCAAAGGTCTCAATGCAGACTGGCTGAAAAATTTTGCTTTCTGCAAGAGCAGCATATTTTGAATTTTTAAAGTCTGCGGCTCTTAAGGCAGCGGCACCCGCCTCCTGTGAGGTAAGATTAATGTACCTTTCAGCCATGGTGTGAGGGAACGTAACATCCCAAGCAAGGGAACGTCCCTGCGCCCATGGTGAAATAGTATATTCATCGGGCCTGAGGCTACCTTCCTCCATAAGACCCGTGGGTTCTTTAATTGTGGGTATGTTTACCCTTTGAAAGCACCTGACCAAAAAGTCGTTCATGGCCGAGTGTCGAGCCTGTCTACCAGGGCCCAATCGACACGAAAGACCATGGTAGCCCAGGGGTTCAACATTGGCCCCACATAAACAAACATACTCGGTTAAAATGGGTAAACCGAGTCTCAGTCCCAAACTGACACGAACACAAGAGTCGTCCAGCCTGGTACCACAGGCGGAATTTGGGACCGCCTTCAACAAAGATGATCCCAACTCACTTTTTACAGCCATTATCCTGGCTTTATCAAAATTTGATTGGTTCAAATCCAGCAGCTTAGCAACTGAGCTGCTGATAAATGGAGCGTTCCACTCCTTTTGAGAACGGGTTTCGATACAAATCCCCGCTCCGTGGACGGTCCGGAACCCTTCAAAAACTTGGGTTCTGAAATTGTCGGAATATATTTTATCCCTGGGCAACAACAAATTTTGGAGAGGAACCGTGGCAGCAGCAGAAGGCAAGAAGGCAAAAGGTGCTAAATCCACCACGGTACCTAAACCTAAGCCACCAACCGCGATGGGCAGGGTTGCCTGTAACCAACCTTTCTGGTCAAGGGAAACGTTGAAAATTGATTGGAAGCCGTCACAGAGAGTTTGATCAAAACATTGAAGCATCAAATTATCGAGGCTGGGCAACGTTCTTAAAAAAAAAGTCAAACGAGGCAAGTACATCGCGTGCAACAGCAAGGTCAAGGCATCATGCTTCGAAACTACCTTCAGTCTAGACATAATAAATTTAAATTTTTCCAATTTTTCACCCCAGAAAATATTACGTTTATTGCAAGGAATAGGAAAGAGCCTAAAAAGTCGATGTCATTTTTAGGAAACTGTTTAATTTTGAAAGAATTTTCTATTAAGTTTGGATGATTTGTGAAGAATTCACATTTTTTAAAGTTTAATTTCAAACCCAAATCAGTCTCATGACCCACAATTGAATTCAAATCCCTCAGCACATTTTCAATCTTTCCACCAAGTGAAATGTCATCCAAGTAGGCGACAATGAATTTGGATTCCAAAGACTTCAACAGAGGGTTGATTGCAAGAGAGAAGAGCAATGGACCCAGTGGGTCACCTTGCTGAACTCCTTCCTCTGACAAAATTTTTGTGCCACTAAAAGACAGAATGGATGGCTTATCATAAGCCGACAAACAAAAGTTGTACAATTCTGGCACAACCGACTTCACAGTGAGCAGCAAGTGATCCCGCCTTAGTAAGTTAAACGCATTGGAAAAATCCAGTTTCAAAAAACATTCATCATCATCCATGTTATCAACAAAACGTCTAGCGGCGTGAATCGCTCCCTCTGCGCCACCGCTAACACCAACGCCCAACTGCTGAGGTTAAAGCAGGGGGACAACTCTGTCTTTAATGATGTGCATGGCACATTTCGCAGCCAAACGCCTCCAAACACAACCAACTACAATTGGCCTGATACCCTCATCTTTTTTTAACAGAGCAACCAGTCTTCCACCAAACAAAATAGGAGCCACCTCTGGCGGACAGTTCCCGCTTAGAATCAGGTTGACAAATGAGGCAATCAAATTCACTAGATCAGAAGAATCTGCTTTTGAAGACGTAACGTCTCTTAGATGTGCAGGCGTGAGACCATCTCTGCCGCCAGAAGTTCCCTTAGGAAAAGACTTTAAACAGTGCAGCACCTGTTGTGAATTAACCGTTAAGCTTGAAGCCTCTTTGGGTAGACATTCCTTTCTGTTTGAGGGAGCGTTTGGATGTTTCTCCCTTAGGGAACCGGTACCGGTGCAACTGTATCTGTTGAAGACAATAGCTGTAGCGCGTTTCGAATGTTTCCTTTTTCAATCTTGGATCTAACTGATAAAATCATTTTAGCTTCGGCTGAAACTTTTTTGCTGTACTTAACAACAGGCTCCAAGGATTCCACCATCCTTTCCACCGAACAACCGCCGAATGCATCGAATCTCTGGGTAATAACACCTGTTGGGTTGTGACGTTTACCCCCTCGAGGACTCCTCCTCAAAACCATTGAGGGCAGAAACAACAGCTTATACCAACTTGGAGGCGATAGAGGTTTTTCGATAATTTCTTTCAAAACCTTGGCCAACAACTGACTAAATTTGGGTCTGCACTGCTTGGGAAGATGATCATGCAAACAAAAATTGGCAGATCTAGAAAAAAAAAATTCATCCGCTATGTCGCATTTTGGGGCAAGCACAACATGATTTTTCTTGATAGAAAGATTACCAGCATTTTCCAAAGATATACGTTTTAGCACCACCGGAGGCCTGGCGAGAGGGCGAGAGAGCCGGGACACTCAGAACCTTTAACTTTTCCCCCATGACGCATAAGTGCCCCATCTGGGCGGGTACGAAAATGCATATTGCAAACATGACAACGGGTAAGACCTGAGCCAGTTGCTTGACTAAGAGACATAATGCAGGATGGAGCGCCTGAACGGAATGGTTCAACCAAGGTTAACAAGTCAAGCCAATTCAAATATTGGCTTAGTTAAAACCAAGTTAAAATCAAACAACCTAGAGGAAACGAAAACAAAAAATGGTTTGTTTTCGTTCAAAACAAGCAAAATGGAATTGTGGTGTAGAAAAACGTGTGTAGAAAAACGTGTGCCACTTGATAAAAGGGACAAGCCAGGTGTAAGTGTGGTGTAGAGGACCGATACCACTTGACCAAACAAAATGGGAATGTGATTTAAAAACGGGAATGTGGTACAACAACGGATACCACTTGATGGCAAGAGCGAACCAGATGGGATTGTGGTATAAGAGACAAATACCACTTGATGAAGGCAACAATACCACCTGATGAAGGCAACAAACCAAATGGAAATGTGGTATAAAAAGCGTGGTACAAAAATTTTATTTATTTTTTTTTTCCTTCCCTTTTCTTTTCCTTTTTTTTTATTTTTATTATATTATTTATTTATATGTATTATTATTTTATTTATATATTAATTATTTCGGATACCCCTTGGTTGGGGCAAAAAACAAAGTGGGAATGTGGTGTGAAAATACCACTTGATGGAAAGAGCGAACCCGGTGGGGTTGTGGTATAAAAGACAAATACCGCTTGATAAAAAAATAACAAAATGGGAATATGGTATAGAGGATTGATACCACTAAATGAAAGCGACAAGCAAAATGGGATAAAATGTGGTATAAAAAAAACGGATTTTATTTTTTTTTCCTTCCCTTCTTTTTTTTTATTTTATTTTTATTATATTAATTATTTATATGTATGTATGTATATATTTAATTTTTTTTTTATTTGGGGGTTAGCTTTGGTGAACTGAGCGCTGTGAACAAGCTATGGAGAGAAACAAGGACCATTATGGAAATAAGTAGTGAAAACTACAATGAATACTAAGGAAATATTAACCGAAAAAATTCTCAACAATGAAACGCACCAACGTGAAAATGAAATCTGAGTTTAATAAACAACAGGTAGAAAAGCGACACGACACCATTCAAAACAAGACCCGCAAAAGTGCACAAACAATGAATGTACTGTGAACGTAAACCATTGAGGAAAATTTAAGAAAATTTAAGAAAATGACGCCAGAATAATAGAGATTTTTTTTTTTATTATTTTTGTTTATTTTTTATTATTATATAAAGAAAGATTGAAGATGAATTACGAAAGAGTTAACGTTTTTTTTACAATATATTTTTGTTAATTTTTAGAATTTAAAGTTTAGTAATGACAAACATGGAGAAAAATGATATTAGGAGATAAGGAAAAGCGTAGAAAATAGCTGAAAATTGCAAAGACTCTGTTATCTATTATTCTATTATATTAAAATTAATTTTGAACAAAAAAAAAGGAAAAAAAATTAGGAAATTAAGAGAATTTTAATAATTTTAAAAATGAAAGATGGAAACCAACCGGCCTGTGCGAAAGTTGAACGTTGTATGTATGTATGTATGTATGTATGTATGTATGTATGTATGTATGTATGTATTTATGTATGTATGTATGTATGTATGTATGTATGTATGTATGTATGTATGTATGTATGTATGTATGTATGTATGTATGTATGTATGTATGTATGTATGTATGTATGTATGTATGTATGTATGTATGTATGTAGTATGTATGTATGTATGTATGTATGTATGTATGTATGTATGTATGTATGTATGTATGTATGTATGTATGTATGTATGTATGTATGTATGTATGTATGTATGTATGTATGTATGTATGTATGTATGTATGTATGTATGTATGTATGTATGTATGTATGTATGTATGTATGTATGTATGTATGTATGTATGTATTTATGTTTGTGTGTGTATGCTTGTTTGTTTGTTTGTTTGTGCGCGAGTGCGTGCTTATACATATAATAATGTTTTATTATATATTTTATCTGAATGACAAATATTTGCCTCAAAATTAGCATTAGTTTGAATGTATATTTCTGGAGTGTTTGAATGTACCAAGGAAATTCCGTTCGAATAAATATGAGTTTTTGATGTTATGCTACACTATAGAAATATAGGCCTATGTCATGTCATTATTCACTTTTGTTTAAAAAATAGCTGAAAAGTTATGAACATCGGATAAGTTTTATCATAAATTCGTAACATAAAATAGACACAAAAATTTGGTAACGCAATCTTTCTGATATTTTATCATCAAAGGAGAAAATGTTGAAAAATCTGTCAAAGAAAGAAAAAAATGAAATATTACATCTTCTGAAATCGATTGAAGAAACTTTCAGCAGATATTGGAAGTCTTACAAGTTGTACGTAGCACTCGAGAGCAGGATGGAACATTTAAAAAAAATTCTCATTCAACGCGGCGATGAAAGCATTTGTAAGTAGTTCTGGTTTGGAGGTTTTACCATTCGTTAATTTTATTTTTAAATTTCATTTTTCAACGGGTTTCAATTGTTTAGATGTTTACCAAATTATTTTTAGCGCTTCTCTGTTAGCTTGTTCAAATAACGAGAATTCGCGTGCCTAAAAATAATCCATAAATTTAATTGCCTGAGCAGATAACAAGAGAAATTTTAATTTTTAATAAACAGCTGCTGAAAAAGGTTCACTACTAGTCATTCAAACTGTACAGTTGGAAGACCTGCTGGCTAAATACAGAGTAAGTAATATTTTTTTTTAAATATCTCTTGGTGGCATTATTTTTAATTTTAAATGATTATTTTTTAAATAATTCAGTGCTTTATTAATAATTACAAAAATAAATTTTATACGCAGAGCTATGTCAAATGTCTTCAGGAACCTATTTTGTGCAAAAGATCCAAAAATTCTTTCTCTGCTACTTTTTGGATAGTGAATCTATCTAGCCAACTTGATTCCAATCAAAATGCAACTTAGATTCAAAACCATAATTTTGATGAATATAACTGATTCAGCTATTCGTGTCACTGAATGCTGAATGCGTAAGAACTGCACGCTGCCCTGACCCAAGCTGCACTGCGAGAGAATTTTCACATTTTATCCATGAACATTTATTTGATAGTTAATTAATCAGTCGGTGCAATCTACAGCGTGTGCAGTAGATTCGATTACCGGACGCACTAAGTTCAAATACAGACTTGCTGCCCATCATAACAAGTTTCTTATCTCGTTGATCCTTACACGGGTAGTAGCTGACACTTTTGGCCGTTAAATAAGTATAGTGTAGTGTAGCGTAGTGAACTTGTCCAACGTTAAATCGATGTTGAACAGTGTTGTCGAAATGAAAATCCTAACGGCAGAAACTAACAATCTTCAATAATAAATAAAACACCACAAGCTAATGAAGTGATTCGTGGGAGCTATATAAAAGGAAAACTGCGATACTAATCTGAAAGGTATTCGGGCTGCTGATGAGTCTCCGGTAGGAACGAAACCCGTGTCCTGTCTATCCAAACGAATACTATTCTTTTCTTCTCCTGGTTCGTGTTCCTGGTTCGGTGTTCTTATACAACCGCAACAGTGTGGAAAGGCGTAACGTAATTTGCCAAAAAATATTAAAACTCCTTAAACTGACAAAATGAAAAAACTTGTTGATTAGCTATTAGTAATTACTTATTTTTTTAAAACAGGAATTTTGGAAAAATTGGGAGATATTCAAAGTGTTGAATGAAACAATGAAACATCCCGAATGTCTATTAACTGTTTCTAACTGGCATCAATATCAATATTGTGATTTTGAAGAATGGACCAGGTTAATTTTATTTAATTGAATGAATGAATAATATTTAATATTTATGCTTTTTGTCTATAAGTCAATTAGCGTTATAATTATGAAATCGCAATTATTTAGAAAATGGCAGCTAGCTCTTGAGTTTGATGAGGATGAGTTCAATGAACCAGTAGATGAAGAAATTCAAGTGGAAAGAGCCAAGGAAACTGCTGAAGCATCTCAACTGTACACCAGTGAGCAGGAAGAAAACCAGACATTCATCATCACGGGTAAATTATTTTATATCATGTGTAACTTCTTATTTGCCAACTAAGTTAATCAGATTTTTTTATTGTACAAGATTAGTAATACAAGTTAAATTGTTGAAGGTGTGATGGATACAAAATCAGAAGAAGAGATATCGTTAGACGATGCGATAGAAAAAGGTATCATCAACCAAACGGAGGGTAAATATTACGACACCAAAAAGAGAAGTTCTCTTCCTATTCCCGTAGCCATGAGTGAAGGAAAGATCAAAGTTAGCCACTTAGTCGTGTGAATATTGTCAATCAATAAAAAGTTGTAACATCACTTTTTTTTCTTTAAAAAAGGTTGAAAAGGTGGACATAAAAAAATCTGCTGAAAAAGTTAAGGATATCGGTTTAATAACTATCACAGTTATTAAAGAATCTAGACCTTACAAACTGAAAGGAGTGATAGATACGAGAAATGATCAGAAGTTGTCGGTAGAAGAGGCAACAAAATGTGGCATACTTGATCAAAAAAACAGCCAGTACAAAGATTTGGTCAGTGGGAGCGTTATCTCATTGGCTGATGCGCTCGATAGTGGTTTGCTCATTGTTGAATTTCAACCTATAAATGGAAATGGCAGTGCAACCGCGTTAGTCGTTGTTTTTTAAATGAACCATATACCTTAATACAATTTTTAAAACTTTGTCACTTGATTAAAAAAAATAATTATTAAAGAAAATTTGCGTATAAAACAGTGAACCAGTAAAAGAGACAAAGACGTATGCGGTTAGCGCAGTCGTGGACATGCTTAACAACCAAAAATATACATTCTCTGAAGCCGTAAGGGCTGGCCTTATAAACGCTGACGATGGATCATATTTGGACAGAAGAACAAACACCAACGTATATATTGGAGACGCAATCAAGGAGAGTTACCTTAAAGCCATCATTGTGAAAAATCCAAAACTTTTAGATATCAATCCAGCAAACAGAATAAGCATCAGCGAAGAAAAAATGAATTTCTTCAAGCAAACTTTAATTAAACCGCTGCGAGCTCTGAATGCGCTGAAAATCGGCGTGAGTGAATAAATTAATGTTCTCTGTTCTGCTGAGTCCCTATTATTTCGACATTTTTCACGTTTAAACAATCACTTTTAATAGCCAGATATATTATCGATTAAACTAATTTATCAAATCAATCTTTCTGTTATATTTCGGTTGCAAAACCAAAACGAGATGAATAATGACAATAACATGTCCGATGATTAAAGAGAAATATTTTTTCACTGTTATATTATCCACCGTCCGTTTGATTAAGCAGGTAGATGGTAGTCGAGTTATATTTTTAATTACTTGAGTACGTTTCGAGATTTTATTGTTTGTTAGGAACAATATATTTTGAAACAATCCACAAGGTGCTGATATTGATGTATTTTTTTCTTTTTGCCATTTGAACAATTTTATAATGTAGTAAGGTTTTGAGTTTAAAGTCTATTTTTAATATTGCATTTTATTTGAAATAAATTACAAAAATATGTCCGCAGCTTTTCTAGATTTTAATATTTATTAACAACTAATTAAACAAACTGAACAGGAAACAACATAAATAGAGATTATTTACAAACTTTGTCTAGTTTTTCAAAATAATGTTACAAGACCATAGATATAAAAACTCTTATAGTTTCTATGTCTACAGATAACAACAAAGCGATTGAATAGACTTTATTGAATGACGTTAAAAATATCACTTGATCTCAATTTATCAAATCGACATACATGAGAATCAAGTCTATCATCATTTTATAAGAATTTATTCATGAAAATGCACTTTAACAAAGGAGCGAATTTCTTATAATTACAGAATTTTCAGCACGAATTACAAAAATGTATGCAGTTGATCATGAATTGGGCCGTGGAAATCTTTGAACAAAATGCATCAGAGCAAAATTAGCGGACCACCAGAAAAACCAACGTTATATTCTCTATTCTTTTTATAGAAACGATCGTTTTAGCTCAGTAGTCAGTTTTAATTACCATTCATATTTGCACACATTTTGGAATAAAAAAGTTGAAACCATGAAAAATTTGAGAATAATGAAGAGCGCAGTTTATTATGACATACTCACGCACACATACACACACAGACACAAGCATATAGTTCGCCTATTAATCTATCTATGCAACGTAATGATATTGATTGGTAGACTCCTTATCCCTCTCCATGTAATCACGATCTATCAAACTTTCTATCCTCTTCTTTAGGTCAGTTGACTGCAGAGAAGATTAACATAAGCATAAAAATAGATCATAACAGAACAAATATAAAATATGATTCTTTAGATTAAAATTCACTAAATTTAGTTCTGAAAAATGTCTTCTGTGCATGCAACTGTCACGAATGTCAAGGAAGGAATCATTCATTCAGCAGAGCAATTGATGAAACAGTCAAGTGAGGAACACGAACCTTTACAGGAAATTTGAGTTGGTCAAAAAGTTCAGCGATGAGTTGGTTGTGTGTGAGTGTCTTCCTCATCTTCATGATGCGAACGATGGCAGCATCTACCTGGTATTGACGATCTTGAAACACTCGCTCAGATGTTATCATGTTCTCTTCTTGCTGTTTAATTGCGTCATCATTTAAAGTTTCCTCAAAATTTAATGTTATAATCATCATATGAAATTACATCACCAATTAATCTTATATCATCGTTTAATTTTATATCATTATTTAATGTTACACCTTCACTTAATGTCATGCCATCATTTATAGTGATAATGCAATAATTTAACATTGCAAAAAACTTTTGCTAACAGTGTGTTTTCAAGTTAAGTTCATAATTTATAACAAGCTCAAAACATAAACTAATAAAAATCAGAAGCACACGTCATAGAACTGTTAGATTGCCAAATTAGTTATATTGAGATAGAAATAATTTTATTTGAAACTCAGTCACAGCAAGTACTAACCGTTTCTTTCATTTGGATCTGGTTGATTTTAATGCGGTACAATTTATGTTGGAAATCCGTGGCCACAGTGAACTTGTCGCCGTCATCCACATCTTTACCCTTCATTAAACATTTGCAATAAATGTAAGACTGGTTAACAGCGCAATAACAACCAGTGATGTAGTAACACTCATGTTAGTGTGGTGAACGATTGTATGTTTGAAATGATTTGAAGCGTGAAGAATTAACGATTGTATGGCTTGGACCATCCGATTGATGTGACTATCTTAATTATATCTTTATTACTGTTGGATGGTCAGACAACCAAACACATAGATTAAAAAATTTGTTCTTCAAAATGTTTTAACATGTGGAGTGCATGCTTGCGGAATCCCACAAATTTGACGGGGGACCAAGATTTTGAAAAATATTTGACGACCGAGGGGGAGGAATTATCCGAAAAAGGACAACGGGGAGCTTACAAAAAAGTGGGTGATCATGTGTTTTATTGTTAGTGAAGTAATGTGACGAGGTTCTATGCTGGATTTGAGACTAACTGTGGGCAGGCTAATGAAGCCATGATCACAAATTAAAACAAAATGTACTATGCAGTGCACAAATCTGACTGCGACTACGGCTCTGGCTGGATTTGTTTTTGTAAATCCGGCTCCGGAAAAATTAAATCCGGTACATCCCTAGTAACAATATGCTTGAATAAATTTCTTATTGATTTGAAATAAAAGTTATTTATTTGTTTTGCTGTTTGGCGTTCTCATTGCTCTTTGTCTTTGACATTCGAGATAACAGTACTTGCACTTGTACTTCAACTATAGTACTTGTATTTGAGGGCTAGGTACTTGTACTCGAGAAAATGTTTTCAGTAGTTGTACTCGTACTTGAGGCATGAGTACTAGTACTTAAGTACTTGAAACATCTCTGGTAACAACTAATTTGAATGGTTAATGTGATTCATTTTACGAATAAAAAAAAATTAAGAGATCAAGTAGAGAAACCTTGGGGTGTTTGACGAGTACTCTTGCTTTGCCACAGGCTAGGGATTGCAAAGTTCTCTTCAGTTCCGTGATTTCTGCATCAATGAGAAATTAAACAGGTGAGTATATAAAAATAAATTGAGAAAATTGAGAATAGTAAACAAACCAATTTTGGTAGTTTCTTTGATTTCTTCAATGCTGAGTTCCTCTGAATTATTGAAAAGAAGTAAACACAACGCTTGGAACAATGAGACCAAAAGTTCTTTGCGGCCCTGTATCAAGTAAAAGTTAAAACGGTAACCATTCCAATAAATTCCTTTTTCAATTTGAAAAATAGAAAATCTTTAAACGATTCCTATCATCACTTCATGGAGTTTACATTTTCAGCGGAAGCGGAAAGTATACAGCAAATAAAATAACATTTATTTAACATTCCATGCACGGATGCTCACCCCAGGGTTACTATCTTCCTAATTTGAAAAAGCATGAAGCAATAATTGACTGATGCATTAAATGGCATGTTATAAGGACCTTTGATTCTTCCCTTGTTAATGCCAACCGGTCAGAAAAGTTTCAAAAACTCAACCAGAAATAAACGTCAGCGTGATTTAATAAATTCAAACATCTTAAACAATGTCAACCTTTGAATTTGATCACTAGACAAACATTCAATTAGAAATGAAATTAATTGAACAGCTGCTGGTTTCGTTGCACTGTTTGCACAATGCTTTCACAAAACTGACTGATTGTTAATGAATGTACCATACATGAAAACGGGTACGATTTTTGAAAAATCAAAAAAATTATGGAAATGATGAGAGAAAATGTGAAACAAACGGTAGTGAATTCAGCCTTGAGGACGCAGTGACCCAAATTGTGCTGCCACTGCAACCTCCTTCCACTGTGCTTTGAATGATAGAACTTGCTGAATATTTCTTGGTACTGCAACATCTGCAGAGGATTTCATTTCCAATTTTTAATTTATTGAGCAAATTTATTGACAAAATAACTAAAACATGAATAGAAAACGAAAAAGCACATAAAATAATAGAAAATAAAAGAAATAAAATAGTTGTTAACTAGTTTAGGTTAGCAAAATTGAAAACGCATAAAAATCAAACGAAATTAACAGGTTGGAATAAAAAATGAAGGACACTGAATGTTAAAATAAGAAAATAAATGCAAGAATGAAAAAAGGCAGTTAATACCACAGCAGTAAATCAATAAACCAACGAAATTCGCAGCAAGTAAAGAGAATCATCAGCAATGAACATGCCCAAACAAATGAAAATTTCATGTGAAAAAAGTAACTTCTTCTGATAGGTTGACGTCGGTCGGTGTATATGTTGGCCAGTATCCCATGGTTAGCACATTGACGTACAGCTCTATGTTACAATTACTTGGCAAAGTAACATTCGTCATGTGCTGCAAGCAGGAGTTTTATTTATTACATTAGTGATGATCATTTAGCTTTAGAAATTAAGAATGGTGCCAAGGTTTTCAAGATTTTCATAATGTATCAGTTGAAGTAGGCGTACATCACAACGAACGAGAAATTAATAATAAATCAATAAGAAATAAATTATGTTTCGCAAAATAAGAAATCTAGACAGAAGAAGAAAAGTAGAAGAAAGACACTAGCAAAATAAAAAAACCTGTTTGAAATTATGCATGATGTCTTTCGACAACTCCATGTCTTTGAACATTCCTTCCAACTTGCTCGTGAATCCTCCGCCACATTCTGCTCATTTCATATTTTATTTTTATTTATTTTATTCTCTTCGATAGCCACACAAACAATAAAGATTATTTCAATGGCAAGTTTTGTAAGAAACTTCATTACAAGCAAGAAAGCACCAACCTTGCTTCAACTTGGACAACATTGACTTCTCTGCATCGTCAGAGGCAGTCTTCCCCACCAACAACCTTTTGGCAAAATCTTTCTTGTAGAAAGCTTCATAAACATCCTTACCTTTAAACGAATGAAAAATCAAATAACTCAACAATCACCATGAACAAAATTGATGACTTGTAAATACTTATTGAATTTGATAACATAAAATTAAAAATAACACAAAAATACTAATATAAACTCTGACAACCATTCAACACAACAGCACAGCATGAAATATGACACTCTAGATGGAAGTACCCAACCAAATGATTCCTGGCACTATGTAACCATATTTAACAAAAAAAAATAACAAAAAGAAGAAAGATGAGTTTCATGCAGACCGTGAATGAAACGAAACAGGACCATGATCTTGTCAAGCAGCTTCTCCAGCTCTTCTTCTGTCGACTCCTAACAATGAAAAGTCAAAATAAATATTTCATTATCCATTTGAACATTATGAATAAAATAGCTATGGGCAAAGCAAATTTAAGAAATTTTTAAGACAATGCATTCACGCACTAACCTTGTTTCCAGCTCGCAGCTTTGAATCAACGTACTTCGCTAGCAGTGGGCACAATTCAACATTTATTAGCAAATTAGTGAATGCAATACATTTATCACAATGAGTATAATTTTTATATGAAACAAAGGCAGATCACTAATAAATAACATGACACCAATATTCACACAACAAGTACAAAAATGATGATATAAGAAAAAATTACACAAGCAAAACACAACGCAGAACAGCTAAAAAACACAAATCACACAGCACAGCACGATAAAGAACAACACACACACACAAAAAAACACAAATCACACAGCACAGCACGACAAAGAACAACACACACACACACACACACACCAATGACTTCGGCTGGTTTGTTCTGTCTCTGATTGATGAACTGTTCAAACGATTCCTTCATGATGTTGATGAACTTGTCATTTTTGCAGAAACACACCTCAATGATCTTGTCTATCTTGTCTTTGAAATCTGAGTTGAGCAATTGCATTCATTCTAGGCATTTTAGAGCTTTAAACTGAGATACATGGGTGGATGAAGCAGATGGATGGATCCATATAGCTAGATGGATAGATGGGTGAATGAATGAAATAAAAAAGAACAAGAACGGAACCTAAAAGATTTTGAACCATGTCCTTATCTTTTTCAGGGTCGTTGTTGTGATTGATTACATACAGAGTGCCAGTTTTCTAAAAATTACAATCAGATGATGATTTATATTTCATCACTCATCTACTTACCACCACCTAAGTCACCAGAACATTCTAGAAAACTTTAAAAAAATTTGCCTTTAAATTATAACTACATCTTACACGCAAATATTCTTGTAAGAAAAATTAATTTAAAAGAATTACGAGCCTGCATTTGTATAATAGTAAACACCAACCTTGATGTAGTTTGAGAAATTAATCATCAGCTCCTTGACGCCATCTTTCGTCCTTGAAAGCAGATCAAATAACAAGGTCAGGTCACCTATCCTGTTCTGCTCTAGCAACATGTCCAATCCTGAAAGTTATTTTTAAAAGGAATCTTTAGAAGATTATCTACAAGAAGAAGATGATTAAGAAATACAATGCGATAACAAATTATCATGACTGAAATAACACTAAAAATGTTAACCACAAATTTTTATAAATTTCATAAACGGAAAGATGAATTGAAAAGAATGGAATCAGTGAACAGCAGTAACCTTTCTGGAGTATTGATTTTGTATGGTTCTCTATCAACTCAACCTCCAAGCATGATATCAGAGGTTTTCTGGAGCAAATTTAATTTATCAAACTATAATCACATTAAAAGCATTGAAAGTATTGTTAGCACTCGACAAAAAATTTAACTGAAAAACACTTCTAATAAACTGGGATAATGTAAGAACAGCAATTGCAAGATACTTCCCATTTGTTTTAAACATTCACAAGTAGACAGACACACAGACAGTAAAATAATACAACATATAATATTCATAAAAATTGTTAAATTTTTAATAAAACAAACAATAACTTCATTTGTTCATGAAACCTTCAATAGGAAGAATAATATACTCGAGAAATAAGATATGGAACACTGTAATTACACATCCATAAGTTGTCATGTTGTACATCTTAAAATTTTAAGAAAGAAGGAAAGAACCTTGTTGATTGGTCGAGGTAGTAGAGGATGCGTTCCGTTTCCTCTTTCAACCTCCTATCGACATGATGTATGTACATTGGAACCTAAGTGGAAATTTAAGTCGCTCTTACTTTTTAATAATATATTTGTTTCACATCACGCCACAAAATTGCAATAAAGGTTTGAATGAGCTGGCAGGGGCAGTAGTAACCAGTGCAAACTTGCATCCAACAAGCATGTCACTGTCACAACTGTTGGAAGGTGCTGATTGCTTATGGGGTCATCAGTGTTTCAAATTCAGAAAAATGTTTAAATATTTTGTTGTAGAGATACAATTTTGTTGCACACTATCTTGAAAAATAGAAAAGTTCATTGGCGCTTGTTTAGTCCACTGGCAATTACATTGGAGATAAATTTTTTCTCTTGCTAGCCTTTCAACAACTGTCCAATGTGTATTAAAAGACAAATACAAAAAAAGACAAGATCAATTTCAAACCTCAAGTGATGCGATGAGTTTCTGTCCTTCAGCGTTGTACAGTCGATTGCTTTCAGTCAGGAACTGCACTTCAAATGCCTCCTGGTACACCTGTTTGTTTGTACGTTTTTTAATTTATGAGTTCAGTAATGCAATAAATCCATAACCATAACAACACAAACCCATTCACTGCTACAATGAAGACACAGGAACATAGCAGCACAATCCTCTCAAATCTAACACATAACAACCACATATATGCATGTCCACTAAATGTGAACAAATAAAAACAAAACAGCAAATATAAAAGAACCACACAACAACAATGTAAATGTGCTAACCTGGAGATCAGAAAGCATCCTCAACAGACTTTTAATCAGTTGCCTGTCGACGGACTCTCCACTTCGTTCCTTCTCAATCAGACGTAACAACCCATCAATCATCTTCGACCTGACAATCTGATTGCTGACTATGTATGTCCTGAAAAGTTCTAATCCCATGTCCCTAGAATCATTGATAAGGAATTAATTTTAAATGCCCTTACTGAATTAAATAAGAACATTCTGAAAATTTAACAATATAATTCTTTTGGAAATTTTGAAAAATGTTAAATATAATAACCACAAGGAAGGAATGGATGGATTTTGTAGCACATAAGACCGATCCAACACCAAAAATATGCTTCTTATGTCAGTCTTAAAAATATTTAAAACACAAAATATCACCCATACCGTTTTGTGAAGACTAAAAAATTATTCAATATTAGAAATAATTAAAAAAAAAAAAATCGGTGGCTCACCATTTGCTTGCAATGTGTTTTCCAACCTTGGTCAAGCAGTTTTAAAAACTGATCTCTATCCATTTCAGTATAAATTGGAACAAAAATTTTGAAATAGGTCAAGGAGGCAAACAATTGAAATATTATTATTTTAAACTTCAAAAAATGACAATAAAATAAATGAAGCAAGAGGCAACATCTTCAGTAAATAATAATGTATTAATTACAAAAAATTTCAATATTTGCGAAAATTACAGCTGCATATATAATGAAAATCTACCATTTCCACAGTAATACCACAACACAATTTTAATTCCGATGGCAGTAAATACCTTATACGTTTAAGAAAATTTACCAGGTCTGCGGTAAAATACAGCAATATACTTAGTTGATGGTAATTACTGCTGCATAGAGTATAAACTACTAGATACGCCATAAATGCTGTGGCTTCTCCACTAAAGCATCCTAGGTGCATAGCAGTTTAAGCTTATAAGAAGGGGAAAGATTGAAATTCTATTTAAAGCATTTACAAATTTAACGATATATATTATTTCATAAAGTTAATTTAAGCTATACTTCTTGGTGTATTATATGTGAGTGGTGTACATGCATTCTAATAGTTACAAATGAGAGTTGTCAATCTAGGAGTGCAACATCTTTCTTAATAACAATGAAGTTGTTCGTTACACATTGATTTCATTGTTCAACTGACCAAAATTCTGTAGTTGATGTTTTTGAGAATTTTTAAAAGTTCAACTATCCATAAGCATTCATAAAAATTTTAAAGATATGCTTAATTTACCACTTCTTTAGCAATTTGTCAATAGTTCAGAAACGATATTTACTGCAGATGGATATTTATCCATAAACAAAACATGAAAAGGATATGTTACAAAATCATTGACTTTGTGTTTAATGTGAGTTTCACACACTTCACGTAAATCGTTATAGAGATGAGATGCCATCTTGTGCGAGCACATGTTCTCAACATCCTTTACAAAAATAACATTTTATAATCAATCGATCTTCTTTTAGCATCCAGAGACTCAGTTCCCCGAGGTAGGGCGTATAACAATATACATATAACAATAACTATAATAATCTGAATTCAAAAGTTGATATTAACATCAATTACAAATATATTGAAGTTTTATTAACATTATAAAGTGCTTGCTGAGTGCAGTTGAAAGGTTGCTTTTGATGAATTGAGTTAACTGCCTCTTTCAATCTTGCTGAAGTCTTTTTCTGATAGTCATCTGGTAGCTTCGGTTTCTCTGGGCAAAATTGTTAATTAATTAATTTTTTATATATTATTGTCAAGAGTTTATTTAATAATAAATTTTTGAAACAAAAATGATGATGGCAACCTTTGAAATTTTTTATGACGACTTTTTTTACTGAATTAATTTTCAAGCCACCAACGATGGGAGAGTTTTTTGAAAAGCCATTTGTGGGTCCCACGCTGGTAAAAGAATTTTCAGTGTCCATATATAATGAGTTGTCCGCATCTTCATCTTCCATTTTAAATTTTTTAATTATAATATCGTCCGTTTGATCAACTGTTCCAATGTCGTTGTTGGCAGTGGTAGAGCCTGGCTGGTCAGGATCAATTATTAAATCTGTAGAAGCTGCCTGGTTTCTTTTCTGTGGAGTTGATTGCCGATTATGATGAACAGCGTTAACCTGACAGATGTTTGACAAAGGCATGCATTAAACTATCGGCTGGTTTTTAATCAGCCAAGTCAAGAGTAAATTTCGAACAAACAAATCTAAGAAATTCCTCGGCTACTACGAATTCCAAACAAATTTCGCAAAAACTCAAATTAAGTTGATATTTTTGACAGAACAAAGAATTCTACGCAGTTTATTCAAAGCATATATAGAATGTAACCATGGATATATACATATCCATGAATATAACATATAAAGAAATACCCTTATTATCGTTACATCTACCACGTAAGAGGGAACCGTAATAGTTTCATAATCTTGCATATCTGAAATACTGTGAGAATTTCTAAGCTCAGCATAGATGAATGAAAATTACTTTTTCCAAAAATTCACGTTTGACCTCACCTTTTAGACTTTTCTGATGCAAAATGGATGGTGGGATTAATAAAAATTCAACAATATGCTCGTTACACTTTTTTCCAAGTTATTTTCTTACAGAATTGTGCGACTCCAATGCGGCACGTTTAAAAAAACGGTTACATTCAAATCGAATAAGAGAAAATTAAAAGTTGGAGCAATACGAAGCGTGTTTGCAAATGCGCCAGCTTACTGTACGACATCAAAATCACAACCTCAACCGATAACAAAATCATCAGCTATTTCTCGACATGAAATAGATATTGCTAAGCTGGAAGTGGTTGAACCAACTTTTATCAATAAAGACGATATTAAAAATTTAAAGTTGAATGAAATAAAAAAAGACCGTCTACAAAACGAAATTACTGCTCCAACAGGTTTCCATGTCAAATGACCAGCTTGTAATTTTTCAAACAGCATTTGACAATAACTGTCCAAAAACTGTATCGTCTATTGTTGATAATAAAAAAAAGAGAAAAGGCTGTCTCAAGTGATGCCGATATTAAAAATATTGCCTCTGTTGAAACATTCAAAACTCTCCATAAGGATATTGATGAATTTGTGGTCGTCATTCGTCAAAATGAAGGCAATAACAGTGTGTGTGAATAACATTGTATAATTTCACATTTAAAAGACAGTGAGTGGTATTAAACCTTGCTAGAGTGAAATTACTACACTGTACTATGTGGCAGGGGTTATTGCTCATAGCATAATAAAATGTACAAGGTACAATGATCGTAAGGAAATTTAAGCCGATGATGGTGATTTTCCAGTAAAAATAGACATGGTTGAAACGCAGTACCTGAAGGATGTTAACAGAGGATTAATGAAACCTTCAGAGTACTGTTATGATACTTGCTTAAAATGTTGGCATATTTTTGAATGCGCCAAAAAATCAAACGAAGTGATGAAATTATTTCTAACTTCAACTTTAATTAATCAGGAGCAGCAAAAAACGAAAATTGAAAAAAATAGTTTTTAATTGTTATTTTAATAAAATATAAATATTAATTAATATCGAATGTTGAAATTGCTGGAATCATTTATTTTTACATATATATTTTTTATCATAATTTGAACTTTTGACTTAATTATTTTACCTAAAATAATGAATGTTGATAGTTGACGAAGCCAGCGTCTCTAGTCAACAAGTAGGACGCGAACAAACTTCCGCCCAGCCGGTGTTTTCGGACTTTGAGAGGGTCTATTGTAAAGTGGCCGCTCCCGGCCAGAAAAGACTCCGCCGAAGTGAAGGCTCAGATGAATATTCGTATGCGGACGCGGTTCAGGACCGCGTGGCGCGGAATTTGAATGTCGCCCGGCAAAAATCTTCATTAAATTTCTTTCAAAGTGAACCAATAAAAATTTGTGATTATTACATTAGTTTCATTCGATAATAACGCTACATGAATCATTTCAAATTCAACAAAATGGAATCAATGCTAACGTTGCTCGTTTGTATAATTCGGATTATTTTTTTAAGCTGCTCCAAAACTCTGCTTGTCTAGTCTAGTCTTTTAAATTAAATCGAACTAAGCTTAGCAGTGTTTTGGCTCGATGACCGATTGATTTTTTTTTATTTCATCTTGATTTGGAATCCTATCCATGATTAAAAAAATCGATTTTGTATCAAAAGATCATATGCCATGTTTTCAATTTCAAATTACAACTCAAAAAACGTTTGAAATGTTGAAACTTGTAACGTATCGTTTGCTGGGCCATTTTTTTCTTTATTTCCGCCGATAATTGTTTCAAGTGTCATTGATAACCCTTGTAGGGATTTGGCAATGTTTTCAGTTTCTACTTTGGAAAATTTAAAGTAAAGGGATTGAAGTCAGAATTTTTTTATCCTTCTTTGTCGCCATTGTTTAATAAATATTTATAAACCCATACGATGCATAAACATCATATTCTAAGTAGGTATGCGCTTTTGCTTTAAGTTTAACCAAAATGCAAAGAACAGTCTTATATAATTGTATACTAAGTCCGTGCTTATAAAATCGAAAATCAGCAGTTACAGGGACTCTTACTTTTAACATTAAAACATGCAGTAAGCCAACGGCCTGTAATTTATCTTTTTTGTCCATTATGAGTCCGGGGCGAACGAAGTTCAAAATTGTTGTCAATTTCGAGTTGTTTTATTGAATTTATTTTATTTTTTAGAATTCAATCTTCCAAACCAAATTATTATTATAAAAATTAATAATTAAGATATATTCCCATCCCAAATCTTCCATTCTGTGATGTCATCCCATTCATTTCCAGTTACGTTTTGTTAGCCAGTTTCAACTAATTTGTCACCCGACGTACTACAACCGTTTTCAACGAGACTAATTTTTTATTTGACTTTTTTTGTTCAAGCTTGGTTTCAACTTCTTTTCTCAACTGATTTTCAACAGATTTGTGCAGCATTCCACTTTAGATGCTTTTTCAGTTGTCGCACGCTCACAAATATAGTAAAGAGGCTTATAACTATTTTTAACTTTATTTTTATAGACATGTTAAATATTAACAATAAATCATCGTGTATCATCTGCAAATCATATTCTGTAGACAATCGGCACTGGTTGCTTGTAAATCAATATCATCTATTAAAAGTATTTCATCATTATTAGTTCCAGCCAGTTTTTCACCTTCCGGAATAGATTTCAAAGGCCACATTAACCCGTGATTGACACAAAAATATTGGAATTATCTATTCCGCATAATAATTTACCCAGAAAATTAATCTACTTTTCGTTTATATTTACTAAACAAGTTTTTTAAAATAATTGAGATTTAATCAGGAATTAACTAAATTTTGTTGTCGGTCTTTTTTCGAAAGTTTTGAGAATCATGTATATTGTATATACAATCTTATTCTACTTATTCAATCTTATTCTATGGACATTTTAAAAAAGCTAAATAAAGCCTAAATTAAAGCACTGTCAAGTGCCATGAAATGTGTAAGTATTAAAATCTATAACCATATAAATTACAATAAACTCAAATAGATTTCCGATAAATAATTCTGAACGTTTTTAAACACGAATGGTTCGACAACAATTTTGATGAATGCAATGAACCGAAATGTGAAGTCAGAAAAAATAACATTAGGAGATGCCCTGGCAGAAGGTGGTGCTGTTAACAAGTGTCGGAGTCGATTTTCGTCGGAGTTAGAGACAGGGGCGGATCTAGGTAATTGGTTTTGGGGGGGCAAGCGATGGGCAAGGGGTAGGGCATGGGGGGGCCAGACATGCTGGAGTGTTTTGTGTTTAAAAGTACACAACAAACAAATTAAAACATATTCAAAAAGATTTAATATATATATATATATATATATATATATATATATATATATATATGTATATATATATATATATATATATATATATTCTTATGTAATGCAATTATTAAAAATTAAAGTTTATTTAGGTATTATTTCTTTCTTAAGCACTACTAAGGTGCAGCGAATAACTTAATTAATGTTATTTCACTCATCCTTTGGTGCAATATTAATTGCCTGTTTCATTTGTTTTCAAATCTGATTATCTAAATGACGAATTATCGGTTCCGATTTTGGTGATTCATAGCACACATATTGGTAGGAGCTTGGATAAACCTGTCATTATCCAGTCCCACATTTCAAGGCATACCCAGTTCATCAATTATAAGATTACTCAAACCATCAGCAGTTAGATCATGAGCAGGCACAAATCCAATAAATGCTTCGCATACGGCGTCACGTACAAAATATCGTATTACTAGGCTAACCTGTTCTGTTTTTCGACAGTCTTTCGTTTCATCTACCATTATTGCAAATTGAACACTCTCTTTGACTTCATTGATGATTTGTTGCTGAACCATTGCTGCCATGCAATGAAGTATTTCATTCTGGATCGTTTTGCTTGTGTATTTTGCATTTCCCGGCAATGAAATTATTTTTTTACCTATTTCAGAGTCATACTTGCCAACCAAATTTATTAAATCGAGAAAATTTCCTCTGTTCATACTGCTACTGCTTTCGTCATGTCCTCTTTGGGCTATTTTGTGCACAGCAGTGTACTTGAGTACATCAATAACAGCTGCAATATAATGGCGATTAGCTTTTATTTGTTTCTCTCTTTTGTCTGATAACATATCCAGAATAGCTTGTTGTGGTTTTTTATTTTTGTATTCAATCCAAGTCTGATATGCTGCCATATGCGCATTTGAACGTATATGCGAAATGAATCCTCCATCAGAATATGTTGCTTTTTTCCAATTAGAGAAACCACTGCGTGTGAAAGTATTATCTGGCAAATTTCCAGGCATAGGAAAATGTCGACAAGCATAACAGAATGCTGCATCTATCGTTTGAGAATACTCTAGCCAATCATAAGTGGCATACCATTTCTGTTGAAATGAACGCATTTTTCCACTTTGTAATTTAGTTGGGAAGCGATCCAAATTGGGTTGAACTGGTGCATTACTTGATCTTTGAGATAAATCTGAAAATAAAAAAATGCGTAATGTATATATTTACTGGTTG